TCATCACGCCCTATATGAATCTATTCAAGGAATTTGTAAGTCATTGTATTACAACTGATGAAGGTCTCGGACCGAAACGTATTTTATTAAACTTTCTTAGACCTTTTATTTGAGTACATGTCTTTCTTAGCTCGAAGTTGTCCGTCCTCGTGTACTACAATATTTTTCCTACTGTTTATCGAGGTTTGGACTGTGAATCCCTTTGGATCCTTCTGACGCGGCGTCACTGTTGGCTCAAGGCCTTTTAACTTGTTATTATATATATATGTATATATAGATAGATATATATATAAATATAGATAGATAGATATATAAATATATATAGACAGTATGAGGTGAGCTATGAACGAAATGTGTCTAAATGACATTTCCGTACTTCAAAAGAACCAGTAGACGAAGTCTTGTTGGCTGCCGATGATTACTTCTTATAACTGACTACCTAGTGTCGCGTCATGCCATATCGGGGATTCCCCATATGAACTGTAATTAATGAAGGTGATTCTAGAAATTTGTTCACTTCCAAGATTGCTCGTAATCGGTGAACATGGATGATGCTGCTGCTGCTGCTGTACAGAAAATGCGGAATGAACTTCCTGAGGAGGAGCGAGATGGAAACATGGGTAAAATCCTCGGCTACATTGCTGATCTCTGTCAGAGTGGACGGTCTTTTCAACAAGCACTTACAAATGTCGGGGACATATCCACTTTGGGAGAGCACATTGAGACCATCAAAGATATGCTTGAAAATATAACAGAAGATGGTAAAGAGGCCATCCTCAGAGCTGTTGACTATCAAAAGAGAAATGCTTCAGAGGCCATGTTAGAGCATTGCAGGAATCAGTTTGGTTTCTCGTTGCCAGAACTGCGGGAGCGCATTGCAGAGAACAAAATCACCGATCACCAAAAGACCAAAGATGCTATTCTAAATGCAATGAAAGATTTCCAGAAGAAAGAGAGCAACAAGGCAATCACAGATATGGTGTATAGATCAGGCCCCATTGCAGTATTTCAATTTGTGAGGCTTTACATGTCTTGGAAGACCATCTCCAGCGCATCAAATCTCATTGAAAGCAACCCTCATAGCTTCAGTATGATATCCGGCAGTCTCCAAAAAATGGAACAGCGGGTCATAGAACTTGTGGAAATTTGCGAAAGAGATCCAAAAAATCCCAAAATTCTCAAGAAAATTGTTGTCATCAACTCACATTTCACCTCAATTTCTTCCCAAATCAACAGTCTCCATATCAAGATTGATGGCCAAATACAGCGTGTTAATCTCATGGCTGATTACGCCACAGTTGATGGAGTTGTCAATCTTGCAACAAGCATGACACAAGGTTTCCAACTTTTACAGCTGTGGGACAAACTGAATTCCTTTACTAAAGGCTTTGGAGTAGTAAGTGTTGCTGTCTTTATGGGCTTCACAGCGGCCAATGCTGGAACATATGTTTTGTCACAACAGACTTTGGAAACACTGCGGAGGGATATGAAGGAGGCGGTCGATTTGCAAAACGCACTTCAAGACCTGTTTGAGCAGGCTGAGCAAGCCTGCAACAAAGTGGTGGAGGATAACTAAAATTTTCATTTATAGCTACTGACAATATCTAAGAACGGTTCTCGATTTCAGGCCTACAGTATGTACTAGTCTAGAATTTACATGAAATCAAACCTGCTTGACCTGAACATGCAATGTCCAAATATTTTCAGTACTGGTAAATTGTAGCAGAGATATGAATGATTCCAAAGTTTCTTTGTCAAGTAACAGCAGAGATTCTGCTCCAGGGTAACCATTCTCCCCCCCCCCTTCCATAACAGAGCTTCCTAGAGGTGGTTCTTGGGGAGAGGCTTGGAGAGCCCAGTCCCCCCTTTTATTTTGGGTAAAATATAAACACACAAACAACTCCCCCCCAGCTCAAGGTCTGTATCTGCCACTTTTTCTCCCTACCCAAACTAATAAGGCAAGCAAGGAAAGTTTACATATACATTCTGTCTCAGTTGTTAAGGTCGAATGTGCCAACTTAGTTACACAACTTGCATCAGTTACATAATTATGCAAGTTTATTTGACAGAAGTAATAACTCAAGGAGAATGTTTTAAGCCTTCTTCCCTTTTTTGTTGTTTTTTTTAGACCACTAATAATTGCAAAACTAATAATGGCAGAAAATCCCAAAGAATGAAGGGCGTGGTTAAGTAACTTGAGGGATGATGTCCTATGTTGTGTACGGGTGTTGCCTTTTGTCAAGAAATAGCTTTAATTAGCACAGACTTCAAAACAACATTGCAAGGCTTGGAATAAAAGCATCACTTTTTTTGTGCAGATAACTTTTTCACCTCGCATAAATTGTAACTGCCCTTTGGTATTTTCAAGCTCACTATGCAGTCTCTCAACAGATCCCTCCTTCATCCTTAGCCACCCAGGAGAGAGCTCTTCTGTCTTTTCGTGCCGAGAGTGGATTTCATATTGCTCACAAAATTGCCACATGCTGGATAGGAAAGAAAGTGAAACAATAAAATAGTTTAAACGTTTATTGGTAGTACAGGTATGAGAAGGATGGAAAGAAAGGAGCCAGGATATAACTTGTTGAGTATAAGAGACTTGTATCATGGATTTGACAAGCCATGCAACATTTAAGTTATCCCATTGCATAAACAGGGTTCGTACGGGTCATGGAAAACCTGGAAAGTCATGGAATTTCAAAATTTCATTTTCCAGGCCTGGAAAGTCATGAAATTTAGGTGTGGGTCATGGAAAGTCATGGAAAGTCATGGAAAATCAATATGCTCTCTATGAGTGAAAGGCAATAAGGCCCAAAGTTGAAAAGTTAACTGACAAGTCCAAATATCAGATTTAATTTCATTCAAAATAAACAGAAGCGCGCATTGCGAGAATGTGTGCAAACGTTCTTTCACACTGCATTCTTGCCTAAAATTTATGCAAATTTTCAGGTATTTCGAGTGAACCAATCAGTTAGCATGAATATCATTAGTTATTGCTTACCTTAGGTCATGGAATCTTTCCAAAGGTCATGAAAAAAGTCATGGAATTTTAACAGGTCAAAAGTGTACGAACCCCGATAAACTGTTCATAGCAAAATGCTAGGAACTTGTTGTGAGTGATTCTGACTACTGGTTATAATGTAGTGACCGTAATGATGACATTTCTCTCTCCAAAGTCTAACCACACTGAATATTTTTCCTCTACAAGACTTGAGTTTTCTGGAACAAAAGCAAATTATCGTAAAATTTAAACATCAAGGCTTGCCATTGATAAGATAAACCTAGTATTCAAGAGGGGCAACTATCCAAAATGATTTTCAAAACAATAAAGTACATTCCGAAATAAAATTTAACATAGTCAGAAATAAGTGCCAAATGCAAACCACCAAAAATAGTCAGCTGATTAACTAGGATATACCTTTTACATTCTTCTCTGCATTTTGTCGAGCCTTAAGAAATGTGTTTTGTATTAAATGCTTCATTGCAGATACAAGAGTGAAGTACTTTGCCTTGTAAGAGCTCTCACCAACTGACTAAAATTTACAAATAAAAGAACAAGGAATGAAACTACTGTTGGCTGATTTTTTAATGCTTAATCGAGAAAAAAACACACCAAAGTATAACCCACAATAAACAAGATATCTCTGAGGCACAATAATCAGGAAATCCCATCCAACTTTCCCTTTGAAATTCTCAAAAATATCTTGTCCCTTCATTGCAAGGTCAGGGTGAGACGAAAACGAAAAGATAAGGTTGCCCTTCGGGCAAGCTGTTACTTGAGATTACTAGCCCGAAGGTCCGAGGAGCTAGCCCGAAATTAAATTCCAAGCATAGATATAAACTAATACTTCGTATATTTTGATTCTTACAATTGTTTCGCTTTGTAAGTCCAGAAATTTTTTATAAATTGCAAATGACTGCTTCAGAGTAAAATTTCATTCAAACATGGGCGAAATAATAAAGGAAAAATAACCTCTGCACTCGGATGGGTTCGTTCCTTCGATGTTTACATTTTACCTGGTCGACAACACAGTTATTTTTGTGAATGTCATGAACGTTGCAATCAGTCAATTAAACTACCACTATAATCTGAAGTCTGTCGACATTCAACTGGGTATAAATTCTCTTCAAAGCTCGTCAAGCTGACAAACTCTTCCAGACCTGGCACCGTTAGCATCCAATTCCGAGAAAATCCACTGAACTGTGACTTGGCTGGAATTTTTTAAATTAAAATTAAAATTAGACTGATTAGCTGTGGTTACGCTAGACCTTTTTCCCACGGGAAAGTGAGACTTTACCCACGGGAAGTCTGTGTTTTGTGTGTGACCTCTATTCCCACAGTGAAACTGCCCATGGGAAATCGCTATGGATACATAAAAAAGAACAAAAGAATTACCCATGACGTTTCCCGAACCAAGTCGTAGGGTTTAGCAGTGGTTTATCTAACCACAAGAGTAGTTCAACCAGTCGGATGGAAGAAAGTAGTAAATCCGGAAACCGCAGCACATGCTGGGCATTTTTGTGGTGTGAAGCTGAAATCGCGGCAAATATCTTCGCAAGTACCAAATTCAAGACAAGCGGCATCAAACATGGCCAACTTTCGAGGTTCACATTAAGTATATATTACTCGTCTTTGCTATGGATACTCCAATAAAAACCATAAGTTTCGCGGTTTGTGATCTCCATGATGACTTAATTTCCCGCCAAACACTGCTAGGTCAAAAGTTGACCTCGGGTAATTATTTGCGATGTAACCGGAGGATTAAACCTGACCGCAAACCCAAACCCATCCCAACCCAAGGTTATTAACCACTGGGTTACCTCGGGAAGAAGGTGAGTGTAACCACAGCTATTGTCTCGCACTGCAAGCTGTCAGTCGGCAAATATTGTCATTTCAAAAAATATATTTCGGCCGCTTATGTAAACAGAAAAAGTCATGACGTTATTTGCGGACGCAACTAAAATTCGGCGCAAGACGTTGTCATGCTACGATAGTAGGGAACTTAAGCACCGGTCGTTTTTGAGGCAACGGCAACTTTAGCGACCGAAAGAGCCTGGGAAGAGAACAACGTCGTTCCCGCCAAAATATAAACGTTAAGCAGCTAGACGAGGTTTGCGGCGGCGACGTGGGTAGCAAACTCTGTTCGCTTTTAAGATAAGCTGTGTGAGAGCATGTCATCCTTCAGTGAGATGAGAAATCTGCTTCTTTTTTTGTACGATAGTAAAATCATCAGTGACGAAGAATTTTTGACCTTGTACGAAAGTCACAGTTCCAAGAATCCAGAATTCCCTTACAGCTCATACCCTGAGTTTGATTTCGACCAGATGGATGAATCAGAGTGTTTAGCGGAGTTCAGAGTGCGAAAACAGGACATAACGTTATTGGCAAATGTCCTTCAATTACCAGACACTATCCGCTGTCCACAAAGAACAACGTGTCACCGAACTGAAGGGCTTTGTATGCTTCTGAAGCGCTTCTCGTATCCATGTCGCTATTCAGACATGATTCATCGTTTCGCAAGACCAGTTCCTGAGATAAGTATGATTACCAATACAATGATGGATCATATTTTTTTGAGCCATGGTCATCGTATTTCACAATGGAATTTTGATATATTGAGTCCGCCAATGCTACAGGAGTATGCAGATGTTATTCATGCAAAAGGTGCACCTCTCAGCAACTGCTTTGGGTTTATTGATGGAACAGTCAGACCAATTTCTCGCCCAGGCCAACACCAAAGAATAGTGTACAATGGCCATAAACGTGTACATTCCCTCAAGTTTCAGTCCGTCGCTCTACCAAATGGACTCATTGGAAATATGTATGGGCCTGTCGGTAAGTTATGTTCACTGGGATGCCATGAATATAAGCTGCCACATAAGGTTTCTTTAATTTATTAATTTTATTTATCCCTTTTTGTATGCAGAGGGGAGAAAACATGATGCAAGCATGTTGGTAGATTCCAATCTTCTCCAGGAATTGGAAAGGAATGCATTTTCCCCAACTGGCCAACCCATGAGTGTTTATGGTGATCCCGCCTATCCGCTGCGAATACACCTACAGGCCCCATTTCGCCATGGTGTCCTAACACCGATGATGGAACAATTCAATTTTGACATGAGTTCTGTTAGAGTAACGGTGGAGTGGCTCTTTGGTGACATCATCAACGACTTCAAGTTTTTGGATTTTAAGAAAAACCTGAAAATTGGAATGAGTAGTGTGGGAAAAATGTATCTTGTATGTGCACTTCTTAATAATGCTGTTACCTGCCTATATGGAAACAAAACCTCAGAGTTTTTTGGTCTAGACCCTCCTTCATTGCAGTATTATTTTAGATAAATTCTCTCAAATAAACCGAGCAGAAATGAAGGCCATTTTAATTAAACACAAATTCATTAAGTACTTGAATTCTTCTTGGTGGTCAACAATGCAGAAGTGATCAAACTTGTAACAATAATAATGAATGAACTTGGTTTTTTTTTCGAATTCACAAAACGCAAGTAAATAATAAGACATCAATTTCAACAAATACCTGTCTTTTTTCTGAAACAAATAAACACTGACTTTACATGTTCATACTTAGGGAAAATGTCATTCCTTCTTCTCAAGAAGCTTTTCAATAACCGACAGAATGGCTTGATTTGTTTGTTGTTGTTGCTGTAAGACAGTCACCATCACTCGCTGATTCTGCTCTTGCTCTAGTCTTCTTAGATCCAGCTCTTGTTGTCGTAATTCTCGCTCAGTCTTGACTTTCTCTTGCATGAATTCAACTAGTGGTTCGGTGCGAGCACTTCTCCGTTGGCGCTTCGGTTTCTCCACGCATTCGTCGCCATTCTCTGTTGACTTTCGCTTTTCCGTTTCGCTGTATCGCTCTAAAGCTTTCTGCCTTATGTCCTCTGCCTTGCTTTTATCTTCTTTTTGCTTTCTTGACTGAGCATCACCAACTTTGTTTAAGCTTTCTTCTTTCCCGACGAGTTCTTCTAGCAAAACATCTATTTCAGACATATCGTCCACGGATATTCCACTTGCAGTTTCTTCTTGATGCATCTTAGCCTTATACTTCTTCTGGAGAAGAACCCATCGGTCTCTTACTGCCCTCTTATCTTTGAGATGAAAACAGAGTGTCTTCACTTGATTTAACTTTTCTGTGATCGATTCCCACCTTTCTCCCCTGGCAACACTTCCTTTTTTGAATGAAAACAAATCGCTCGCCAGGATTTCTCGAAGCAAAATAACATCATGATCTTCAGTCCACTCCATAGCTCTAAAAGCAAAATACGACAATTCATCTATTTGACCGATGGTCGAGGAAAAATGTAAACTTGTTAAGATAAACATAAAAATATTTTCCGTTGAAATGTCTTCGAAAGACTCAATAGTTAAGCTTACTTTGCCTTTCCATCGGAGGCGGGCGCCGACATCTTTTGCTCAAAGCTACGAGAAATGAAAATGTCCGTGTGTTTATCTATATTTGAGTATACAGTTTGAACAACATGAAAGAAAATAATTCTAAAAAGGTAACAAGAGCAAAATAAAATGTTACAACAAGTTTGAGACAAGCTAGTGAGGGAAAAATACTCACGTTCTGGATACAACGCCAAAATGAAGGTTCTCACGTTCGCGCGAAACGAAGGCGACTTGACAGACAACTCCAGAACGCCTACCGGAACAAAAAGTCACTTCCGGTCACCGTCGCCGTCGCAAAATAGCCTGGTGCTTAAGTTCTCTAATG